AACAAACAAATACGAATGGACCCTAGACCATCACTGACACGCAATTAACTGATTGCCCCTGGAAGTCGGCTTCTTACAGAAACACAGCTTCCCTATCATCAAATGTCATAGCACTCCACTGCATATAAATGTTAAAAAGAGTATTGCATTTCATTATTATATTTAAGTAAATTTTAAAATCAAATCTCATTTTCTTATAACAATATGAAATTGCTTAATGATAATTGATAAAAAAAAAAGTAAATAACATTGTGTATTTATTATTCCTAATAATTACATAATCTCCTTAACTAACCTTCAAGTCTTATTTATCAAAGTTATTGTTTAGGATTATTGTTTATTGTTTAAAATTAAAATAAATATTTATCTCATATTTCAGAAAAGTACATTCTAACTAAAATACATCCTGTGAAATTCTGTATAAACAAACTGCTTATGAATAACTAATTGCAAAATCTTTAATCCATGTTCCATGAAGCTCTTAGAATTATAACTATAAATTTTATATGAATGCACAAACTGTTTCTCAGTTAAACAGTGATTCCTGATTTATTTTTCTAATGATTTACCTACTAACCAGTTGAACTGCCTTTCTAGAAGCACAAAGATTCATAATTTAAAAAGAAATCCAATGATTTTTAAGTATCTTTCGAAAACCTTACAAACGATAAAGAATCTATGACCACTTTAAAAAAGTGAAATTTATAAAATTTCTTTTACATCTATAAAACAGCCAAAGATGACAAGAAAACCATTACAACCAGGGCTTTGGAGTGGAGCTGGAGCTGGAGCTGCTGCATGGAGCAGGTGGAGCAACGGATTTTTACTCAGAGCAGGAGCGGAGCTGGAGCATGGAAATTTGTAGTGCTCCACTGCTCTAATATATATATTTATTTAATATTTGAGACAGTGAGAATGGAAGTGGCATAAGTTGTAATATTACAAATGTTAAGAATACAATAATTGAACTAAAAAGAAAGGTGATCACAAGCACAGATGAATTTTACATCCATTCCATGTATGTCCCATGTAAAAGGTGGGAGCCTTTCGCTCCAGTCTCCACTATCCCCTGAACAAACTATTCCTTCCCCTTTGTGACCCCCAGTTCTCTGAATTCTTAACGATCACAGATGTGGAGTTAATGGGGAGGGGTGCTAATGAGTAGGAGATTTTAAACTCTGCTTACAAGTGGCTTTAGTCATTAGTACAGAAATTCACCACTAGGAGCAGCACTAATATTCATTTTTACATTTGATTTTGAGTGTGACAGTCATTCATTTCTGTTCGCAATCAGTTTGTTATAATCGTATATCCTAATTCGTAATTTGTTTGCAGAGGTAAGATTATTATTATCATTTGGTTATTTTGTATGTATGAATGTTTATATGCATAATTTCTCAATTATTAACACTTAAATATTTGATTATTTAAGCCATGGCGTCAAACCAAAATTTAAAACCATCACCCTTGATAGACAGTTGATTTACAGAAGAAGAGCTTAAAGAGATATTTGTATTTGAATACAATAATGGAAAGAAAAAATCAGTTACATGCAAGATGGAACACATTGTAAATGGTGAATCTATAAGGTGCGTTTCAAATTTACACAGACACGAAAAAATTAAAGTGAAACCCAAATTTTCTGCATTAAGTGACAAATGTTTTATTAAAAATAACATGAATTTATCAGGTAACTAAAAAAGTTCTGTCGTTTTTTGTTGAAAGAAAACAAACATAAAAACGTATAGGAAATAACAATTTATTCATCAAAATAACCATCCTCACATTCAATTACTTTTCACAACAGGAAACAAGCTTATAAATTCCATTTTTATAAAAGTCACGATCTTTAGAGTTGAAAAACTTCTCTAACTCTGTTTCCATAGCCTCTCTATTTCTGAACTGTCGATTTTGCAGATGATTATCTAGGCTTAAAAATAGATGATAGTCAGAAGGGCTAATATCAGGGGAATAAGGAGGGTGCAAAAGAGGTTCCCATCCAAGCGTCTGAATTGTGTCAGAGGTCACACGTGCAACATGATGCCTATAGCATTATCATGTAGGAAAAGAATGCCTTTATGGTTCACTAAAGCTTGCTGTTTTTTCAAAAGTGATTGGTGAACTCAACGGAGTTGGTCACTGTAGACGTTAGCAGTAATAGTCTGGCCAGATGGTATAAGTTCATAGTGAATAATTCTATATGCAGTCCACCATACGCACAATATTGGCAGATGTCAATTGATGAGGTATCCATTTGCTGAGCTTGTAAACTTTCCCAAGACTATGCAAATGTAAATGGACAGTTTTGTCACTTATGGAGAACCTTTGTGCTAACATCTGACAAGTTTGAGCGGAATCTTCTTCAATTGCAGCCTGTAATTCATCATTAATGACATATGGCCGCCCTTCTCGTGACGCATCTTTAAGTGACTCATCGCCAGAAGAAAATTTTCTAAACCACCTTTGGTTGGTGCGAGTACTGACAGAACCTTGTCCGAAAGACTGGCATATTTTTTGAGCCATTTGCAGAGCATTTGTTCAAAGTTTAAACTCATACAACATACAAGCATGAATTATAGTTTGGAGTATTCATCTTCAGGTCAATTTTTATAATATTAAGAGATAATCTTTCTGCTTCTCTTTATATGAGTCAGCATTAAATCTTGATTAACATACTGCTGGAATTTTAGTGCCTTCTATTGTGTATTACATGTAACATTCTTTAAACTTTGTAGTTTCACAAAAAATAACAGAACTTTTTTGGTTACCTAATACAGGTTTCCACACTGCAAAATAAGAATTTTAATCAAATATTAACATTTTGTCACTGAAAATAATATTTTTGAAAATTTTGTACAAAAAAACTGTTACATATTTATCTGGACAGGTTTCAAATTGTAAAGTTTTCTTACAATTTAATGGCCAATGTAACCACCATTTAACTTAATTACATTAAATACTCGATTAGGCATTGTTTCAATTAGATTCTGAAGGAATTCAATCTTAAGTTTATCCCAAGCATCTGAAATTGCTGCCTTCAAATCATGAATTATGGAAAACTGATTTCCATTGGCATAAACTGTAGAACCATCATCCCCCAAAGATTTTCCATTGGATTCAGGTCAGGGCTTCTAGCAGGCCATGCAATCAGATTAATATTTTTATGTTTAAACCACATTTTTGTTGATTTACAATCATGCACAGGGGCATTGTCTTGTTGAAAGATCCAATTTTGTCCACAAATATTTGGTCCAGCTTCCAATAAATGATCTTGAAGCATGCCTTGATACTTCTCTGAATTCATTTTTTGAGTTATAAATGCTAAATCTGTGGTTCCATTGAATCCAAACGCACCCCACACAATTATTGATCCTCCACCCATTTGGCGTTTTGAAAATATTTGTTTTTCGGTTCTTAATCGTGCCAATAATACTTCCAACCATCTGGACCATCTAAGTTGAATTTTTTTTCATCACTGAACAATCCATTCTTTGGACCATGTCATGTGTTTTTGTGCTCAATCAAGTCTGTCACTTTTGTGCTTTAATGAAAGTGGTGGCATTACAGCTTTTTTTTCTGAATTTTAACATTGGAGATTTATTTAAAACTCTCCACACTGTTGTGCTGCTACAAGGCAAGTCTAATTCTTGTTTTATTTTTCTTACTGATGTTTGTTTTGTGGAGGAAACCTTGATGATTTGTCTACAATCTTGAGGTGTAAGCTTGGGTTTTGGACCTGTCTTGAATTTTGGCACATCCTCGCCACAGTTGATTTTGGATGAATTATATATGCTGCAATTTCTCTTATTGACTTGATTTATGATTTATAGGCATCAATCTGCCCTTTTTTATAATCAGATAAATTCTTTGTTCTACCCATTTTAAAATTTTGAACAACATAAATAATTTGTATTACAATTAGATATGTAAGCTAATTTGCATATTTCAATGCTTGAAACTAAACAATATTCAAGTCATGAAATGAGTGCCTGTCTAGATAAATATGTAACAGTTTTTTTGTACAAAATTTTCAAAAATATTATTTTCAGTGACAAAATGTTAAAGTTTGATTAAAATTCTTATTTTGCAGTGTGGAAACATGTATATTCATGTTATTTTTAATAAAACATTTGTCACTTAATGCAGCAAATTTGGGTTTCACTTTAATTTTTTCGTTCTGTATAAATTTGAAACGCACTTTATACATAATAAAGATGACAGCGAAATAGACAAACATGTTGAGAAAGACTGCAATGCAATATAGGATGTGGGGAGATTAAAGGTGAATGTATTCAAAGCCATTGACCATTATCAGGAGCACATCAGAAAAGCATGCAGAGTTGCTTCAAGTATGCCAACTTCTCAAGCAAGTGTTGAATGTCTATTTTCAGGATTAAGATTGCTTTGACGTGATAATAGACAGTCAATGAAGGACGATTTGCTGTCTGCCATTTTATTTATTAAAATCAATGAGGTTGTATGTTAATTTTTTTAATAATAAATTAATTGTAAATAAACAAATTTTTTTATATGTACTTATATATCAAAGAAAAATTAGTGTAATTCCTATAAGAATATTTTAACTGGTGCATAGAGCAACTCAAAAAAATGGTTGCTCCAAAGCACTGGTTACAACATCTACCAATAACATTCAACTTAAAAAACATGCAGGAAAAAATGAAAAGATAGCAATTCTTTGACCAGAATCTCACTTGTTTTCTGGAAAATTCTTAATTAAACATTGTAATGAATTTCCATATAACTGACACGCTGGATTTATAAGAGGCATTTATAATATACTTATCAATCCCAGGAATTCTAAATATCTTTCTATGTAATAGAAACGGTTCATTCTATGCTCTTCAAAGATATTTCATATAATTACACTGTATATAGTATTTACTGTGATAATATTAATTAATATCCTAACTCTAACATATATTTACAAAATTGATAATTTCTGTATAACAATGCTAATGAGGTGTTTATATTCACAATTACATCCATGCTAATGGAGTTTTATTTAAAACATTGCATCAGAATTTCTGATGATGAGTCAAATGACTTGGAAGTGCTCAAACACTCTTTTCTTGTGTATTTTTATATTTCTGTAATGTTATGTTTCCATTAAAGAACCATTTTTTAGTTCTTAACTTTATAGAGTTTTTAACTAGTTTTAATATACTTTTTAATACTGTTCACAATTTAATTTTTATAATTTAACAAATAAAATAATTTAAAACTTTACCTAGAATTTGTCCAACTATATCCTAAATGATCCAATGAAGAATTAAGTGAAGAAAATGAAGATGAATTTGACAAATCAGATACATAATTAGCTGATGGTAAAACAAAATTTGGCGTGACAGCTGAAACTTTAGATTTTGGACTTGAGGTACGATTAAATTCTGTTGACGCATACTTGAAACCAATATCTGAAATTCAAACATATAGATATTTAATTGTTTATTTTATACACAAATTAATATTTTTTAGTGAAACTGTTCATTATATGAGTCATTACCATTGTCTTTAATCTTAAATAATTTTCTGTAAACTGGAGTCAGTTCAAGAGGACTCTGTCCAATAGTTGGCCAAACATACAAGTAAGCATTGTAAAGACCATTTAATGTAAAAATACATGCAATAATAACTTCTGAAAAAATTATTTAATAAATTATAATTAGAATGTTATAACAACTTAATTTCCTCATTATTAATAATAAACTTAATAGTAAAACCAATATAAAAAACTATCAGACTACACAAAGTGATATAAATCACAAGATTCTTTTAGATAGGGACCACATATACAATGGAGATCCTATAAAATTAAAATGAAGCTGAAAAATTCATATCTGCCTGTACTATTTCTGTTTAGACACGTTTAGGTATAAAACATACTTATCATTGTTTTATATATAGCCTACATTAGTACATTATACAATGGAACCTCGCTTAACTAGCATAATTTGCTGCAGAATCTTACTCGTAATGTGAAATATTCGTTAAGCAAAACAATTTTTCCCATATAAATTAATGTAAAATATGATAATGCGTTTCACGTGGAAAAAATACTCAAATATTTTATGTATAACGTTTATTCAAAGAAAATTATACAATATACATTGTTAAAATGCATGAATCATCATCATCTTTTCTTCTAGCACAGAATGAACCAACCTGAAATGTGAATTCAATTTACAAAAAAAAAAAATTACAGATAATATGTCTGATAAACACACCAAATGATATGCCTAATTCTTGGACTATGTGAAGGCTATAATTAAATATTAGAAATTAATTAATTTGACTAGAGATAGGCAGTTATACTGCCATCTCGTATTAAATTTAAATTCATGGGAAACTATTGCATCGTACATTGAGAAGCATCACCCTAATAAGGTAGTGGCTATGCACACTAAAAATTTATTTAATGATAATGCTGTATTGCATTTTCACCAAATTTTGAAGCATCAGTAAAAACAAATGTCTTTAGACAGCTTTCTAGTAAAGAAGAATTAGATATTGTATGTACTGTATCATAAATAATAAAAAAAAATTGAAATAATTAGTTTTTGTTTTCTACAAATTGAATTCACATTCCAGGTTAGTTCATTCTGCACTAGGAGAAAAGATGATGATGATTCACACTCCTTAACATTGTATATTGTATAATTTTCCTTGAATAAACATTATACATAAAATATTTGAGTATTTTGTTCAGGATGGAATGCATTACCATATTTTCCATTAATTTATATNTCAATTAGAGATTAGACTATGTACAAAAAATTTATTTAATTTTTGAGTCTATCAATTCATCCTTTTTTCATACACCATAGAAGTAGCCTTTACATTGGTTTGAAGAACTCACTGTACATTCATAAAAACGAACAACAATAGGTAAAATTTACAATTAAAAACGATCAGATGTCAGCCTTTCATTTTAGGTATCTGACGCCTTAACATTAAAAATTAAGTAAATGTTCTCACCAACTGCCAAGTTTTATACCATCTGTATCAGGTTCAAGCCCTCTAGTGGTGAAATTGAAATTGAATCATGAAATTGTAACTATATGCAAATCAAAGATAACTCGTATCCACCACTAGAGGACTATTATAATTGTTTTAAGAAACACTTTTAAAATATATATATATATAAAAATCAATAATTTATTTCTACTTCAGGAAATCCATCAAAAGGTTTCCTTTATTAAGGATTAAGGAAATCTGTAAGAAATGAAGTTTGAAAAACACTGAATAATGATAGCCTGGAAGCATTTCGTATCAAAGAAATGGTTTTTCCAACTCTTCAAACATTGTACTAATTTACATTCTTCTTAAACAAAAAGGGACATCTTTGTTTAATTTGGAGTTGATGATAAGAATATTAAAATCAATAACCATTACAGTATATAAAAGTTAGCGAATCTGAGCAAGAGAAACCCAATATGATTACTGAAATGTTGACATAATGTGTCTGTATAATTAACTTACAGTTACAATCATAGAAAGCGCACATAAATGAGAATTCATGCAATATAAAAATATATTAAAATTCCAGAAGATTCATTGTTAAATGCATAATAACTGATTTAAACAATTTTTCTGATATATGTCAAACATAAAGAACTAATTTATTGAAAGTCAAATAAAGTTTATAACAAAAGTTTAAATGTACTGCATGGAAAAAATTTTCTTTAAAAATTTAACTAAAAGTTACTTCTATAGTACAGATGTAAATAATACACAAATGCCATACAAGTTCAATGATTTTTTATAGGTACTGTACAGTTAGAGATTGAACTCATATGGAGTTTTTTAAACATTCCATAAACATACATAAAAAGTTAATTCTAATTTTTACATATGTAATAAGACTTAGTGTTCTTTTGTGTTACAAGACCATAATATTTTAAAATCACTTAAAACCAGAACATATAAATCACAATCCTGTTGTGCATATTTGTTTTCTTTTAATGTTCCAACAATTGATATGGACATACATCTTGAAGCTTGATGTATTGATACTAATCCAAATTCTTGCTATAATTAATAATTAGAAACTAACTAATTAATTTGGTACTAGAGGTCGACATTAGGCACCATCTCTTATCTAAATGAATAATTATAATAATTTATTAAATAACTAGCTTACCTGTCGTGCATTGCTGCGATCTCAGAAGAAAGGAAATTCAAGCAAACTCATTATGATAAAATTCAATTTACATTTTATCATTTTTATTGAAACTTATTATTATTACTGTTATTATTATTATTAATTTTCATTGGGAAAACATTTCAAAGTGTTGTTTCAATTCTATTTATTTATTTATTGGAGTGCTTGTGGATACACAATATTTTTCGTTTTTCCATCTGGTGCATATACAAATATATCAGAAGGTTTTCCAACGCATGAGCTGGCCATATACAATTGTCCATGCGAGAAGCACGGATTCTCCAAATTTAGCCCACACAGTTGCAGCGATTGTCAGAAATGCTATATTCCCCATTTATATATATATTTTTTAATCCTGTATAATTTTAATTATTTAATTGCTCCTTCCTCTCTTCCTTGGAATGTTGTGAAATTTCTGATAGTTGGATAATAAACCGTTTTATTATAATTTGTCTTTTTAAATGATTTTGAGTTGATATTAAAATTTGGAAAAGGGAGTTACCTAGATCAGTAAAAAAAAAATTGGATTTCATCCTACAACTTTGGTAGTTGTTTGGGGAACAGTTAAGGTTTTAACAAAGTTCAAGCGAATACATAATTAGCAAAAAAAAAAAAAAAATCGAAATAAAGATTAAACAAAAATTATTACGAATATTGTAAATAACAGTTCACAAATGCATATATAGAAATATTTTTTGCAGGGGGAGAAATGCACAATGATATGCTCATATAAACGCATGCCATCTATCATAGTATAAATGTACTATGCCATAAACCTTCGCGGGAGTGTATTAAAAAACTTCCCAAAGTTTCATGGCAATCAGATAAATGGTGTGGTAATGCATGAAGGACATACATACAGACACACAGACAGACATACATTCATTTTTATATATATAGATTTAGAATATTCTGGAAGAAAAGAACTAGCCCAGAGTGGAACTTGAACCCATAACCTCTGCTCACAGTGTGGTTTGATTGATCCAGACCCTTGCTTGGGGTCATGTTGATTGCATCTTGAAATATAAAAAAGTTGTGTTGGCAGATTTTTGGAAAAAGGGACCACAATAAAATTGAGTATTATATCAAAATTCAAAAAATCATATCAAGAAAAGAGGATAACCTGATAAAACACTCCTTCAACTGATAACCTCATGCCACACCAGTAGAGCAATTAATCATATTGGGTTTCTCTTGTTCAGACATCCTCCTGTAGTCAGGCTCCAAGCAACTTCCATCTCCAAACATAAAAGAACTTTTAAGTACAAACATTTCAAATATGACAAAAAGTGAAGTCAGCAATAGATTCAACAATGCATTCAACAAAAAATTCCCAAGTTTTATGATGACAAACTCTGTAAACTTGTGACACAATGGCAGAAATATATTAAAGTTAGGAGAGATTACTGTATGAGGAAAAGTAACTATATAGTCTTGTAAATGAGTTATATAGTAAAGCTGCATTTCCAGTTTTGTTTCATTAATTTATGTTGATCCATTGCTATTTTATAAAATCAGGACAAAACTTTTAGCTTGCTCTTGTATATAAATAATGTTATTTTTGGAAATTATTGTACTGTATAATTCCCTGCTTTTACAATTGATATAACTTTCCTATTATGATAAATGTTTAATACATATATAATATTTATTTTATCTTTGTGTAATATTTTACTGTTTAAGTACATTTTCAAAAATGGAATCACAATTTTCAACACTGATCTTATGGGAAATCAGAGTTTGATTTATGATGCTTCTTTAATGTCAGTCTGCCAGTAATATGAATAAGGAAAAATAATATTAATTACAATTTATAATTAAAACTAGTTAAATTCTAGTGACTTGAAATTAATAAAGTAAACTTATTTATTATAGAACAAAATAAAACTTACCAATATACCATAGAACTGGTGGGTTTCCTGGCAAGCACCGTGAAATAGAACCATGATTACTGCAAAGGAAAAAAATGAATACTTTTGAAATTTATAATTTATTGAAATAAAAATAATACTTACATATCAAGACAGAACAGAGTTGCAATGGTGAAATTGATCAAAGCCCATGGTAAAGCCCATTTTGACTTCGCAACAGCAATTTTTCTTTGGAGAATGTCTTCGACTACAGAATGTTGCCATCTACTGTTAGTCATGTCTAATTATAAATAAAACTTAATTTAATATTAATGTAATGTGTATATATATATATATATATATAAACAAGCTTGTAAAATTAATTAGTATATAAAAATTACAGCAAATCCCTGTTTTATGACTATTTCCTTTACAATTTTCACTTTAATGAATGGTATAAATGATTTTCTAGGAACCATTTAGGTCATAAAGATAGAATTTACTTGTCATGTCAATTTTTAGCCTGTTGTAAATATTATAAAATAATTGGAATTCAATGCAAAAATTTTGCCTTTGAAATTATTATATTAGGGGCAGTCAAATGAAAACGAGATAGATGGGGAAAAAAGTAAGTAAACTGTTTATTATTTCAAAAGTAATTGCCATAACTGTTAATACATTTATCCCACTGTAAGAAAAGATGGTCAATGCCTTCATAGAAAAATGTTTGCGGTTGCCTACGGAAGCATGATTGTACCCAGGCATGCGCCTTTTCGTCTGAAGCAAAGTGATGGCCACGAATGTCTTTCTTCGGGGCTCCAAAAATATGGAAATCGCATGGGGAGAAGTTGGGACTGTACGGAGGATGTGTATGGACTACGCTGCAGAAGTTTCACTGGGAACTTCTGCAGCATAGTCAAAACAACCTTGGTAACATGTGGGTGGGCATTATCCTGCAACAGAATGATGCTGTCTGTCAACATTCCTGGGTGTTTGGATTTGATGGTATGCTTCAATTTTTGCAAAGTTTCTACATACCGCTGTGCGTTAATTGTGGTGCCATGTTCCAGAAAGTCAACAAGCAGCGGACCTCCATAGTGATGTTGGACTCGCCTCACTGATCTCACTTGGAGCACGTCTAACAGACAAATGGCACAGCGGTGAAGGTTCACGCTGTTCCTTCCTGATTCCCAATAGAGGGCACTTCTATACCTGCATTACCAACTTCTGTGCCACACTTGTTATATAGTCTGTCTCATTTTCATTTGACTGCCCCTAATATTAACCATGTTTATTTAAAATGATAGAACTGTAAAAGTTTTTTCAATGACAGACATTTCAACTCCATTATAGCATATATGACAACCAAGTTCAACTAATTTATGCTATTTATAACTTTATATAGCAAACCCTAACTTAAAATTGTGGATAGGTTCTTCGAAACTACAACATTAAGTGACATGACATAGTTGAATCCATGTATCTCAAATCTCATTGGAACAAGAAAAAAGTTCAAGATAAACAAGTTTCCAGATATAGCGATTCCTACACAGTAAACAGTAATAGGTTTGATTGGAGGTATAGTTTTTTATTAATACAATAGCAAGTACAGTATTAGGTATAAATAAAACATTTTTAATGTATCTTAACAGAAATAATTTGTTAATAGTTTCTGATGTCTGACTTTCTTCAACCAATAAATTGCAAGCGAAACTCATAACCGATCAGAGAAAAGCAGCATTAATTAAAACTATGTCCTGTATTGCAAGATGTTTCTCAACTGCAGTTTATACTATCAAAATGTAGTTGCCAAGTTCCGAATTTTTAATAGATACTTCAGTCCATGATTTTAGTTATAGAGGTTCTGGAAGAAACTTACTTGAGAGAAACATGGAAGACACATTGAATTTAGGGTATGACTATGCAGATGTGAGCAAGCAAATTTTCCAAGCAAATGAGAATATTTAGCAAGAAGAGGTGAGACGTGATAAATATCAAACCCTGTCAGATATGTGCAAGACCAGAAATTCGCTCATGCCAGCAAGATTTCTCGCTTCTTGCTTGTGCATCTTTTTCTTTGCGAGAACAATATCGCTTGTAACCTCTCGCTCGCTGATAAATTCACGTCTGCATAGTCACACTCTTAGGTTGAAAATGCACAGAAAAAAAAAATTTTTGAGATAAAGAGGTTTTCAAGATTAACATGTTTAAGACAGACAGATTGTTCAACTGTATAACAAAACCAATTTTACAGCACACTAAATGATATAAACAATATGTGATTTACTATAACAACTAAATAAAGATAAACAATGAAAATCTGCCATGTGTCTTCAAAATACATTATAAAGTCAGTTTTTAATAAGTCAATATGTGATTTAGTTACTACTCTAATTGGATCACATTTGCAACTTCCAGCATTTATTTCAAACCTCACAGAATCAATTCTACCATTTATAACAAGTATTCAACATTAATAATTGTAAATGATTACAGATGTACTTGTATCTTTCCTCAACAATGTTGTTATAAAATGACATTAAGTTAGGATTTGCTGTAGTCTATCAAAATGGTGACTATATTGTAAAATATGTCTCCTTGCAGAATAACGAAGATTTGAATATGATTTAGACTCTCATAATAATTATCATGGAATATATTCACTAAGGCAAACAATGTTTATTCTTTTTGTGATTTGAGTTTTTATTAGTGTTACCACCCGTCCGGTTTTCACCCAGACAGTCCGGGAATTGACACACTGTCCGGGTGAACTATTTTGTCCAGGAATTTTGTAGAAATTGTGAAATTAAGATAAAATAAAGTTCTTGCAAATATTTTTACAAATTTACACTATTTTAACTGCGAAAGAACTAACACTCACTGAAACTCATCTGCAATTCTGCCATGTTAGTCTGTTTATGCCGACATGTGACACTCAACCTGCCAATCTTTATTTTTTTTCCATGTACGATTGTACACGTCTCCAATATCCAATAGAGCTAAGTCATCTGCACCTGTTCTTTCTTAGTTTAGGGTTACTTACGTCACTCCTACGCAAGTCCCTAACTGTAACTGATTTAGAACCGGCATGCACGTTATTCTTTGCATTGTAAAATGACATTGCACATGAGTCAGTATCTTCTGTTCGAACAAACCCGACCTGCCGTCCAGGTCAGCGATTTTGAAAAGGTGACACCACCAGTTTTATGAATGCTTATTTAGCATTGTTTTACCCAGTCAAAACTGATGTTACTAATTTGCCAATTAGTACTCCATTATATCATTTAATGAAAAACAATTCCAGAAAATCTGCAGATTAAATTATATATCTTCTTCATTCGTGAATTATAAACATCATTACACATCTCTTGTTGATCCTTCGTAGATCGGACCATCTTGTAATTAACAAGATCGCGAAATTTTTACGTCAATTTGACGTCATTCCGATAATTTTATAATACGAAAGAGTAAATACGACGTCATATTGACATAAACCGTATACTATTGTGGCAAAACACGTCTCTAAATTACTTACCACTTATATAACACACTTGTTCAATACTCTATTTAAAAGTCATCCATATTACGATTCGTTAAAAATATTTAAAAAAATTAAACGATGTAAAAATAATAACCCATGTATAAGATACCGTTACTTGAATAGTAGTTTATTTAATAATGATTAATAAAACAACGATGCGAATGTAACCGCAATTCAAACCGCAACTCAAAGACCGCTCCTTCCGCGGCACGGCGCATAAACTATTCCACAATTCGCCCAACTCTGTCATAATTTATTATTTAAAATATTAAAATAGTTATTAAATAATTAGAGATGGATAATAAGTATATAAAAATAATTGAGACTTATTTATACTTAATTTTTAAATATTTAAAATTTATACTACATTGTCATTCAAATGATGGCATGGAAACATGACGCGATTCCATCAGGAGATTCAGAATTGCAGCGCGGATGCTCTCAAGTACTCCGTCTTTCTTTGTACTATTTCGACGTATACGTGGAAATGGGTTAAATAAGAACATAAATTAAAATTATACTGTATTGGCACATGAAGAAGAACCGATGAATTTCACGTGTCTAGCTCGATGGTTAGGCGCGAACCCACCAGTTCAATGATTTTATCCACTCTGCCACTAATGAACTTTCATTTTTAAAAGGAAGGGGAAGTGGAATTGTAAAATTCTAAATGTTTAAATGAAAAAAGGTATAATTATTTTAAACATAAATAATGGAATCGGATTAAAAAGTTTATCAAAGTGATTTTCTTAAAATACACTTTTACGAGACAAGATGTAACGCCCTTCAACCCTTCCCGAGAATTTTGAATGCCCAATATGAATTTTCGATTGTGATGGATGGTATCATAACACTAAATAACCTTTACTTCCGGTGACAAAACTTTAATAAATCATCAAATGAATTCTTTCGACCTTACTCAAGATTTGCTTCAGGTTTTATAGAACAATTCCAAAACCGGAATGCTAGGAATAGAACGTTTTGAACATTAAATTTAAAATATTTCGAACATATAAAAACAAAGACTTAACGCTTGTAAATACACGAATTGTTGGAATCAACGATCGAAATTATTGTTAAATGCTATACGACATCGTTACGTACAATGCATTGCGTCGCGATGTTTTGTAAACGTTCCTCCGTTACATAACAAAAGGTTGGTGGCGCTGGTGATCCCTCGGGGAGCCGTTAGAGACGGCGATCTCTCCTTTTCAGCGCTGACCTTCCGTGAGTCAAGACAATGTAATCTTTGTGCATTCTTTGTTCCTTTGTTACATAACCAGTTACGCGAGTCTAACTAGTTTTTACTAATCCCCGAAAAGCAACATCGAGTCTGACAGAATTCACCATATATATATATATATATATATATATAAGNTTGTACACTGTTCTTGTAATTTAAATTTTTGAATTTTTCCGCTTTCCGTTTTTGGAAATCCTTCGAGGAATACGATATGTTTTGGAATTTTGAAATGACTTATCTGTTTAAAAGAAATTTAATTATAAACAAAGCGAATTAAAATAAATTGATTAAAATGTGGGAAAACTTACCTTGTCTTTACAGTATTCTTTAACATCGTTTTCTGTAATTTTTTGGTTAGGTTTTAGTTGAATGCAAGCACAAATCTCTTCTCCCATTCTTACGTCTGGAACTCCTACAACCTGCAGTTTTTTTAATACATGAGATAAGAAGCATTACGTAAAACTATTTAAATTTTCACTTACATAAACTTCGAATACTGCGGGATGTGTAAGAAGAAGATTTTCAATTTCTTGAGGATATATATTTTCACCACCTCTTATAATAAGTTCTTTAATCCTTCCAGTTACGCAGACGTTACCTTCTTCGTTCATCTTTGTGCATTCTTTGTTCCTTTGTTACATAACCAGTTACGCGAGTCTAACTAGTTTTTACTAATCCCCGAAAAGCAACATCGAGTCTGACAGAATTCAACATATATATATATATATAATGCAACCCCTGTATACTGTATCATTACACAAAGATTGCATTATATGTAAATTAGTACGGCCATTCGGCTAATACCATCCGAGTGGCCGTAGCAGTGAAAACATCACCTTTCTACTTTTATTGGCTTTTCGGTGACCAGTTAGTTAGTAGTTATTAGCTACTTTACTAGCCTAATCTATACAAGAAAAATTGGTAGCATGTTTCTCATTGTTTATAGCAAATTACAGTATATTCATTGCTTGTTCGAAATTTCGGTTTCCGAAAACTCATTCGAAGTTCACCAGCGGCCTACAGCTTGCTAACAGCAATGCTGTTAGCAAGCTGTAGGCCGCAGGTGTATATTGCCCTTTTTGTTTGTCTTGTCATTAAGGCTTTTCATCTGGAATTGGTTTCTAGTTTGACTACCCTAATCTATACAAGAAAAATTGGTAGCATGTTTCTCATTGTTTATAGCAAATTACAGTATATTCATTGCTTGTTCGAAATTTCGGTTTCCGAAAACTCATTCGAAGTTCACCAGCGGCCTACAGCTTGCTAACAGCAATGCTGTTAGCAAGCTGTAGGCCGCAGGTGTATATTGCCCTTTTTGTTTGTCTTGTCATTAAGGCTTTTCATCTGGAATTGGTTTCTAGTTTGACTACCACTGTTTTTATTTCTGCCTTGAAGAGATTCATTGCCAGGAGAAGTAAATGTCATCAGATGATAAGCGACAATGTCACTAACTTCGTAGATGCAGCTGCTGAAATAAAAACATTTTTTCGAGACCTCAAGGTACAAGAATCTGTAAGGGAATATGGACTCAGTGAAGGGTTTGATTGGAAATTCATCCCTCCTCGAGCTTCTCATTTTGGTGGTTTATGGGAGTCTGGAATTAAGTCCATGAAATCTCATCTAAAGAAAGTAATTGGTGAAACTATTCTAAACTTTAAAGAGTATTGCACGTTGCTGTCTCAAATAGAAGCTTGTCTAAACTCAAGGCCATTGTGTCCCCTTGTTGATGATCCACAATCTTTAGAACCATTAATCCCCGGCCATTTTCTTATTGGTCGTCCTTTATGCTCTATTCCCGAATCTTCTCTCTTGTTCCTACCTGTTGGTAGACTTCCAGTTGGCAACATCTTCAACAAATGATGGAGCACTTCTGGAACAGATGGTCTACTGAATATATCAGCGAACTGCAGCATCGCAAGAAATGGGCAGACGTCAAACTCAATCTTCGCCTCAACGACTTGGTGCTCATCAAGGAACATAACACCACACCGTTATGTTGGAAACTTGTACGAGTAATCGGACTATCTCCAGGACCCGGCTGTCTGGTTTGAGTAGCTAAGGTCTTCACAATCAGAGCTGTACTGCAACGCCCTGCTGTAAAGTTGCATTCACTCCCATTGAGTTCTTAAACTTTTTGTAACTGTGAGCTGTAAAACGCCTTGAATATGTTTTGATGTAGTAGATCAACGGGGGGGGGAGATATTCGGACCAGCAGGCGATATTTTGTTTTATTTTATTTTAAATAAAAACTACCGAGAGGAGGCGCTCTCTCTCTTCGCGCGTTTTCAAAAAAGTTTTTGTAGCGTTCGTCTAGCGAACGTGTTCTTTTTTCTATGTGCCTGATGTTGGTTCTGTGTTAATTCAGGGCTGAACCCTGAATCTATGTATCATTTTGTCTACTTTTTGTGAATCCACAAATAATTTCGCCAGGTATTTGCTGGAGATGTTGCGTTAATTTATGGTCCACTTCGTAATTAGACGCACAACAAGTAGTAATTCGATTGGGATGAAAACAAAGAATGCCAGAAAAGTCCAGCAACGACTTTGCCAACTTTTTATATAAGCAGTAATATTTTCTCACTTCTCATACAAATCGCCTCTAAATTCGGGTCAATCTTTCTACTACATTCTACCATTTAAATTGGTATTCTATTCGTGATCTATTTAATTAATAGATCACGTATTGCACGTGATCTATTAATTAATATACTGTTTTGTTGTCTAATCATTGGTTGCTATAATAGAAATACTAAGCAGCGCTGAAGTCAAACTTTTCACAACTGTTTTCAACCACGTAAACTGTTTCTGTCGATATAAACCGAAAAATCCTGTTGTTCTCAGTTTGTCTTTAGTTTTTTCAAGTGTTGCTCTTTTTAGTCTGTTTTAATTAAGTCAAATTATGTTCTACCCAAAACATCTCTCCTTTCCATCTGGTTTTTGGTTTATAGTAAGATTTCACTAGAAAATCACTCCGTTTCAAACTTTTAATCATTTAAAAAGATCTTCCATTTTAGACACATTTTACAGTATTAATAAAAAAGTCAGTAATAATTTATTATTCTAATGTGAATAAATTCATTTGATGTAAAAATATAGGCCTATCTCAAGTGAATAAAAACGTTTTAAATGTTCATTGAATAATTTTATTTAATAAAAGATTTTTACAAGTAAAAGTTTAAAAAAATTAAATTAAACAAGTTTTATTCTGAAATTATAATTTCAGCAATTTTGTACACTGTTCTTGTAATTTAAATTTTTGAATTTTTCCGCTTTCCGTTTTTGGAAATCCTTCGAGGAATACGATATGTTTTGGAATTTTGAAATGACTTATCTGTTTAAAAGAAATTTAATTATAAACAAAGCGAATTAAAATAAATTGATTAAAATGTGGGAAAACTTACCTTGTCTTTACAGTATTCTTTAACATCGTTTTCTGTAATTTTTTGGTTAGGTTTTAGTTGAATGCAAGCACAAATCTCTTCTCCCATTCTTACGTCTGGAACTCCTACAACCTGCAGTTTTTTTAATACATGAGATAAGAAGCATTACGTAAAACTATTTAAATTTTCACTTACATAAACTTCGAATACTGCGGGATGTGTAAGAAGAAGATTTTCAATTTCTTGAGGATATATATTTTCACCACCTCTTATAATAAGTTCTTTAATCCTTCCAGTTACGCAGACGTTACCTTCTTCGTCCATGCTGCCAACATCTCTATTTGTTCGATAGATTTGTGTATAATTAATTATGCTCGCATGAATGTATTGAACCATAAATTATATTAAAAAAAATATAATTGTACCCCGTATGATACCATCTACAACAATCCAATACTTCGTCAGTTTTTTCTTTGTCTTCCCAATAACCAAGAAAAGCGTATGGAGTTCTACATAAAATTTCTCCTTTAGTATTAAATGGAACTATGTTTCCGTTATTATCAACGATTTTTACCTGTAAAAATAATAAAACATTTGTTATAAAATATATTAAATTTAAAGTATAAAACAATTTGCATTCCCATACTTCAACGTGTTCGATAGGTTTTCCTGAATGTTTTTCGGCTGGATAGAGTGCCAAGCAAATTCCAGATGAAGTTTCCGTTATTCCATAGCCGTTCTTTATTAGAGAACAAATTAACATTAGGATTGTTTAATAATGATAATCTAATAAAATTTGTAGTTTAAAATAATTATTAAAATTACTACCCTTGAAATATTTAGTATATAATTTACTAATTGAAATAACAGATTATAACCAAGGAGGGACATTTGGTTTCGCCTCACATTTACAGGTCCTCAAATAAATTTGCTACAAATTATTCATTCTATTACATTTCTTATGTATTAATTAAGAAGAAAAACTTAAATTTTTGTTAAATTTTATTATTTTAAAACAAAAAATACCAATATTTAAAATTATACAGTAGAACATGTTTAAGAAGTTCCCACCTAAGAGGCTTGTTACACTATAAGATGCGTGTTAAAATTTCTCGCATAACAAATTTTCCCGTGTAAGAAATTCCAAAATATCGGTCCCATTGGATCCATTAAGAAGTTTATGTTGGAGACATATCGTAATCTTTCTCCTCGCCATAACTTTATCACTTATAAAAATAGCAAAGTTTTAATAAAGTAACTCCAGATGTTCACCATATTGTAAATCATAAGACCCCAACTAATTTAGTAACCACCTCAGGTGCACACCTGAGGTGGTTACGAAATTTGTTGGCGTCTTATTGTTTTGACCATACTCCCTATCAGGTGCTTTCCATTAACTATTGACACCAGTCACTTCATCACCTGCTGTAGTCAGCGTAGTGTATGATAGTAGAATAATAAGATGGATGTTGCGTTAATTTATGGTCCACTTCGTAATTAGACGCACAAGAAGTAGTAATTCGATTGGGATGAAAACAAAGAATGCCAGAAAAGTCCAGCAACGACTTTGCCAACTTTTTATATAAGCAGTAATATTTTCTCACTTCTCATACAAATCGCCTCTANCATTAACTATTGACACCAGTCACTTCATCACCTGCTGTAGTCAGCGTAGTGTATGATAGTAGAATAATAAGATGCACTATGTTATATTACCTAGATATTGAAATAAACTTGATTACACAGACAAAAAATTATTTTTTTATAATTCTTGCATAAGAGGTATTCCTGCCTAAGAAGTTTTTTTAGAGTGGTCCCTTCAAAAACTTTTAACAGCAATGTATTTGCCTGACTGATTACGTAATTAAAACTTTATAAATTAACTATAACTATTTCCTTTATAATACACATGTAGTGCATTTACAAACACGTGACTTCACGATTTCCTTTATTTGATCATTTATCACATTTGCCAACTAACTACAGTATCTATAATTACTTATAACTTTATAAACTAGTTTACAGATTATACTGTATTTACTTTTAATTTAAAACTGAGAACCACATAAAACATTCGTAATAACTTTACTTAGGCCAAAAGTTTTAGAGAAATGGAATCAGTTTTAACTCGTTAAAGAAATATTTAAACATTTTAGTTTAGTTCTTTAGTGATTGTATTTCTTTTCTACTTGATGTGATAAACCTTTCTAATTATAGCCGTAACTATAGACTAACTGATTATTGTGGAGTTAACTTTGACTAGAAGCTAATTTAATTATGTAAATTTTAGCAATTTTATACTTCAATGACACAGACGAATTTATAACTTTGCTTATATTTAACTATACTTCTCTATATAACAAAGAATATTAGACATATTAGGTCTACTAATATGCGAGGTATTAGGCAACTGTTGACTTGTGAGACCCCTTTTACGTAAGTTTATATAATATAAAGCACGTGTAATAAGATACTTGATATATTACAAGATCTGGAATACTAGCTATACTAGTAGTTCTGGTTTCAGAATACTAAACTAAACAGAATATTGACAAACATTTGTGAGTCCCTTATAAATATCAGAGCCTAGTCCATTGATTTTCATTACACTCAAAACTTATAGGGGTGTTGAAAGATTCCGTAATAATTTATTAAGTTTACATTACATAAATTATTGTCTGTCAGATGTATCACATATATTTAAGTAAGCTAGGGGCGAGTTCATTTCACATGAAACAAACTACATCATTGGCTTTCTTCAACTTATTCCAAGTAAGTGCAGGCATTAAAAAATGTTATAAACCACTGGCGTAGGCAAAAGTGTTGGTTGGTTATATAAGACATCTCATATATAACCAATCAAGACATCTCTGCTAACTTTAATAGTTTATCAACATGTATAACTGTTTTATAGTTATTTTGTATCGCTTAATTAAATAAATAAAGTTGTGTAACCTTGAATTAAACCTTAAAATTATTTAACATTTACCGCAATGTTAACTCCCAATTTATTCTTCAATTCCTGGACCAAGAAATCGGGAATAGGTGCAGCTCCAAGTACAGCTTTAAATTATAATTTATTTGATTCAATTTATGATCATAAATGAAATCACTATTTTAAGAACAAATATTAAATATTACCTTGTTTCCAGCTTTTAAGATCATAATTTGATTCGGAAATGTGTTTTAACATATCAAAAAACATTGTTGGAACTCCATATACCACCGTACATCTGTAATTGATCAATTATATTAGAAGAGAAAATGTATTTTAACTACTGTATTTTGAAAAAGTAGTACTTAAATTATACTTTTCATTTTGGATGCATTCGAGAGATGAAGGAGAATGAAAAAATTCTGAAGGAATAACGCATTTTCCTCCGAAATTTATAGTTACTAATGGTCCTAACGCATAGGCAAATATATGGAAGAGTGGAACTTGTAAACAAATTGTTGGTTTCTAATAAATAGTACTTAATTAGTAAAATAATTATTATTTATTTTATAAGTTGACGATATCATTTACTTCATTGACAAATCCAATCTTTCTTCCAGCAGAAATTGCTTCGTTAACCAACTGAAAATGACTCAGTGCTGCAGCTTTTGGATTTCCTGTTGTTCCCTTCCATTTGATATAAGATTTAAAAAATATTTTATTTAGTAAAGTTTTGCAAATAAAATATACAATTAAATAAGATATTAAAAACAAATTGGATATAAATATAAGGCTCCAATGGATTAACTGATTAACTGAAGATATTCTTTAACTTTTTTTAATATTGCAGACAAAACTTGAATAGTCTTTTTTCATGTTATTCGTGAAACAAATGTCTTTTATATACTATATGTATATAGTATATAAGAAACAGTACTATCCTATATAATTAATATTACTCTCCTCAGTAAACAAGCTACAGGAGTGTAAGGGGTCTCTCTCCAAAGTGTGTTTACTAAAATCTGAAATGTAGGCAAGGAAATTTGTAAAAGTAGACGATAAATTTATTAAACAAGTAAAATAAATGAAAATCGATTTATTTTACTTTTACAAAAAAAAATTGTATTTTACAGAAATTTACAGAAAAATTAATATTTCTGATTTCAGACTTTAGAACAGTGTTTCTCAACGGGGGCGATATAACAATTCTGATTTCTGACATGTTCAGGGGGCGATTAGTAACAATTTATATTTTGGGGGCGAAAAAACAATTTTCTGGGCGATATAGTATAACATTATATTAAGAATAATTAGATATTTTATTCGTTATATCGTACAATAATTAAACAAATAACATTATATAGTCACTAGTCTATTCGATGCAGTACGAATTTGGCATTAGCCTTGTCCCTCGGCATCGGAATTTTGTAGTGAAGGGGGCGATACTACGTAACGGTTTTGTTGAAGGAGGCGACGATTCGTTAGAAGTTGAGAACCACTGCTTTAGAACTTATGATCAGTTAGGAATATTGATTAAAGTACAGTATATCTTATAAATTAATTCGTCTATAAATATATATGTAATGAGTAAGTGAATAAAAATACACATTTATATGTTAGATCTAATATCTAACACAGGTCTTTTGTATCCCAAAATTTAATCCTTTATATGTGAAGTACTGTATTATAAATTAATACTTCATATAAATGGTTTCTATAAAACATCTATTTTTTTGACTGTTGAACACAAGATTGTGTTATTAATTAAACACTTGGCTTTTTTCCATTTTTATTCAGTTGATACGGGTACTTCTACACGTTTCGGGCACTTAGCCCCTCATCAGTCAACATTAAACATGCAATGTATGCAATGACACTTATACATCATAAGTTCGCATTCTCCCAACTAGGAGGATAAGTTGACTGATCTATTTTTATAGTTTTTGCCTTTCTAAGAAGGAGAGGTCACTCATGTTTTGTTGAGCCTTGACCTCATTTCTCGGTTTTACAGCGTTTACTTGTTGCAATGTACCATACGTAATGTGAGTCTTGCAATATATGTTTCATATAAAGAAAAATATTATGTAGTATCTGTAACCTGGAACAGCCTACAGATTATAAAATTTATATACAGTATTAGAATGCACTATTTTGCATATTATTATATTACTATTTTATATTATATACTATTTTGTATATTATAAGCTATCATTGAGATTTTGCCAAATATTTTAAAAACAATTTATATGTTGTATGTTTAACAATGTGTACTTATAAATAGTAATTTGTATCGTATACAACAACTTGTAAAGCTATGTATAGTACTGTATATCTTTATTATGAATCGTTCGATTTACTAGGTTTATTGATTGTACCAATTGAATAATTTATTACCGTAATTAAATTCATAATTAGATTAATTTTAAATTTTTCGATAAAAATATTGTGATCTAGCAGCAAAATAAACTTAAATATTGGAAAATATATACACTCGTCTTGATCCAGTACTTATAATTTAGTAATGTAGTAGGATAATATCAAGTATTATATAGCATAGACTTTATATTAAAAAGTAATATAAGAAAGAGTCCTTGTAACTTCATATTCGCTTGAAGGTTTTCACATCTAAACGATTGAGGGTTTTCACATCTAAACGAGCAAGAATTATTGCGACAATGCCACAATGCCGGGCTGCAATTTTTAATCATATTTTTAATTTATTTAATTTAAAATATATACTCTCGATCTCAAATTAGTAGTGTCTTGACCCTGTACATTATACTTTTCCTGTTTGCAATTGAATCATGCCGGTCATCTATATAATTCTTTTCAGGGGAAAATGTTTAATTGAAATCACGAGAAATTTCAGTCTAGACCGAAAGTTAGTTTATAGTTAATCGGGGCTTCCTACTTCTAGCTTTCCATGTCTGGTTTTGACTTTCATCTATCTAACACTATTCACGAGATTAAGGAAGGACAGACAGAGGGATGACAATGAGAATTTATAAGTATATTATTCTTTGCAAATTTCAGCCCAACCAGCTCTGCTTATGATTAATTAAGACCGTGTAACAATTACACAAGACTTTTAGTATATAAATTGAAGGTTTTGAATATATACAAGAATATTTCAAAAAATTTTTTTCTTATAAACAGAAAAATGATAATAAAGTAGATACTAACCGATGTAAACATGATAGCGGTTGCATTGTCAAATTGAATTGTTCTCTCTCTTTCATGAAGAAGTTTTGTATTTTCACTTCCATCATTTTTGAATATTTCCTTAAAGCTGTACGTTCCTCTATTTATTAGAAATTTAATAAAACTAAATGCTTATTTCTACCAACGGATTTGTGTAGAAATGAATATATTTTAAAATTTTGTCAGTTAATATCATTTTAAATAAAAACATTTAATAACTGAATAATTTAATTACTTCTTATGACAATCGATTTAACAATTTTAATGATAATTAATATAAAATAAAAATTTCGAAATTAAATAAATAACTATTACTTACGGCAAGGCTTTATCTGCAAGAGTAATTACATATTGAAGACTTCTCACCCTAAATAAGAGAAAAGAAAATCTCTATTTTTATTCTTCAATTTATTTTTATCCTTCAATATAAAAATGAAAACTAAAGTCGTTCATTATAATTTATTTAAAAAATCAAAATCTGCGATTCCCGAGGGATCAGTCGATTTTATTTATCTCGGAGGCAATAAATTATAAGTAGGAGATATTTGATTTGTTTTGATGCGATAAGGAAACCTTAACACAAACCGAGGGGATGCGATCTGGGAAAATTTTCTACGTAAAAATTAAGGAAAAGACAGACAGACAGACAGACAGGAAAAGGACAAGGAAAAATACTACGTAAAAATTGTAAAAATCCTATCTTGTAAAAATCCTACCTTGTAAAAATCCTACGTAAAAATTAAGGAAAAGACAGACAACCAGGCGGACTGTCTGTCTTTATAGGTCTACAATTTTTTCAAATTGTGGCCAAATGACCTCTATTTAGGTGTTAGACGTGATAAAATTGGGAAAATTTCACTGGTCGGGAGAGAATCCGTGACCAACTAATAGGGTTCAGTAGTTATGTATTTAGCCACTGATGGATTCTAGGAGTATATACTATGGAAGTCTATTGACAACTTTATTTATATTCTATTTTAAATTTAAAATATAACAAATATTACTACATATTATAATGTTTTGGGCTGCAATTTGAAAAAATTGTAGACCTATAAATTTTCATTTTCTACCGTCTGTCTGTCCTTCTTTAATCTCGAGAACGGTGTTAAATAGATGAAACCAGACCATGAGACCAGACATGGAAACCCCGATTAAATATATAATAACTACCGATTTGGAAGTCACGTTATTTCAATTCAAAAACTCCGCCCCCCCGAACGGTGTTAGATAGATAACTGGAACGATTGTATTGTTAAAGGAAAAGTATGATGTACTGTACAGGAGCAAGTCACTACTAATTTGAGGTGGAGCGCATATATTTTAAATTAAATGATTTAAAATTATGATTAAAAATTGCAGCCTGGCATTGTGACGATGTCAGTAAATAATTGTGCGTTATTTTTAAATCTTAATAAAATAAACTACACAAATTTTAATTTATATTTATAATAATTACTTACTTTTGTGAACATAACTGACCCGGTTTGCTACTTGAAATTTCAGGCACAACTTCAGAAAGTATGTTATAAAAATTTAGAACTTTAAAACGTTCGGCAGTTATAATTGCCTTACATTGAACCTAGTTTATTTAAAATAAATATTTATTAAATAATAACGTAATTTCAATTATAATAATGGAAATAATATATTTACTTTATTAAGAGAGAACTGTAATTCTGCTGCTCTGTATGAAGGATTAAGACATACCTGTAATGATTATTTTAAATATTAATATAATTATTATAAAGAATAATAAAAATATAAATAAATTGACGAAACAATTGCTTAATTAGAAAGCCAAAAACGTTAACGAATGAAACATTTTTTGGCAGTAGCATTGGAGTTGAGGCAGAGAAGTTAGATTTTCCTCATACTAATTATCGTTGGATACATTTTTTCCCCACACTCATTAGTGAAAACATAAAACAGATTTTCAGTATATTGTATTATTAATATATAATGGAAGATTTTACCATTTTAAACATGTTTTCAAGTTCTATATAGTTTATATATGAATATTTTTATTTCAATATTTAAAATTATTTCGTATATTCAAATTTAAAATAATGTTATAAAATTATTAAAAATTGACACATAATTATTGATCCATAATTTAATTACTGTGCTCCCCACATTCAAAATTTTGTTCCGGCGCCTCTGATTTCTGGTCAATTATGCCACCATCTTTAGCATACAAATGCATGCATTCAACAGAATGGAGTGATGTTTAAGTGTGATGAATCCTATTGTACAGAACTTTAATTATGTTCTAAACGATTATCTTCTAATTTTAACACCATTTTTCTTTATCCTGCTGAGAAAAGGATCCCATTTTCTATCATATCAGCATTTGTTATAGTTTACTTTGATCACATTAAAGTGTATACCAGGGGTGTCCAACCCGCGGCCCAAGGCAAGTTCCAATGCGGCCCAATAAACGTGTAAACAAAACCGACAGATTCTTTTATTTTATTTATTTATTTATTTCAACGGCACAAATTCAAAAAAGACGTTTCACAAAGCCGTAAACCTTTATACATATTTTAATTATGAGTGGAAAGGAAATATTTTCAAATACCTGGAAATGTGTGAATGAGGAAGGTATATTAAGTAAAGCTGATGTTGTGACTCAAAGGAGTATAGACTCAAATTCGGGAAAAGGAGAGAAAGGCCAAAAGATAAAAAGTAGTGAGAAAAGTTAAATATACCTTCTGTTATGCAAATATTGACCATTAATTTTCCAACTTTCCTTACTTCTTTATCTTGTGTCCTTTCTCTCCTTTCCTCGCTTTGGGTCTATAATCCTTTGAGTCCCAACTCCAGCTTTATTTAGTACTCCTTCCAGCGTTGCAAGATTTGGCTACTTTGCACCAAATTTGGCTACCCTTTTATTAGTTTGGCGTAAAAAATTTCATTTGACTCATTGGCTACATATTATTTATAAATATATTAGTTGAATAAGAATGCACTTTAAAATGGTGTTTCGTCGTTTTTTTTTAATTAGAGACCCAAATAAAACAAATATTTGTGTTTTTCAAATAAATTTTTGTTTGTCTCCTTTATAATAAATGAATTTATTTATTTCTAAGTAAAAATTGAAAGTGTCTGTAGAAGTAATTTTTTAAAATATCCTTTTTCGT